GCCGCCATTGGTGACATCCCGCAACCAATGAGAATGACCACCACACCCAAAGTGGTATCTTAAGAAGGAAAGCATAGTTGGTATAAAAGAGACTTCATTCTGATGCCTTGAAGGCAACACCACGTCAAGCAACTTGTAAATATTGTATATACTACAGTGAATAAAGTACATATACAGTACAAGAAACAGTATACTTTCTCCGAGTTAAGCTTTACGTTTTAGCAGGGTGTAAAGAAGTACCTATGGTAAAGTTTGAATGAGCAAAGGAAGTCTACCCCAACAAGAAGAACAAACACACACCCAACTACATTACAATAAAATACGGAATTATCATTTGAGGTGCTGGAAATAAAGAAAATATGGACCGCCTTTTAAATTCATTCCCGAAAAAAGTCTTTATAATAATTTGCAATGTTTATTTCCACCATCCGCCTTCACAGCTTTTAGTTAAAACAGGTACAAAAATTGAAACATTTGATTTTTATGAAAACAGTATTTTAAATTTTATGCTTAAGTATCATAGAGGAAAGCTTCCAAAATCGTTTAATTCTTTGTTTAATATCTTTGATACATATCATACATATTACACTCGAAGTAAAAAAAAAATTATTGTATTAAATTTAAATCAACCAATATGGGTCAGCGAAGTGTAACATAGAGGGCCGAAGCTGTGGAATTAATTGCTAGAAGCATAAGAGAGTGTAAACATACATCGAAAATTTAAAAAAGTATTTCTAAATAAGGACATAAATGATAATGATAAAAAAAATGTATTCTTGTGAAAATAATGATATTTGTAGAGCGTGTCTTACTTATACAATAGTTTCCTTTCAATGATTTTTTTTATGTAGCTTTCCTATACATCACATTCATGCATATTTCGTGTTTTTTTTTTCATGTAGTCTTATTATGCATGTACACGCGTGCATACGCGCTTAAGTGATTTGTGGGTTCATTTGTATGTGCGCATGTATTTACAATCGTGAATGAATTGAGAAATTGTTTTGTAGTAATTGATTTGTAAGATTATTTATTTTTAAGTTAAAGGGCGCCACAGTTCAAAACTTTTGCTTGTTATGGTCCTTTTTCGCACCTTTAAACGTGTACTTTCTGCTTTCATGTATTGACATTTTTGTGTGAAAATAAAAATTACTCAGATTCAGAAATACTCATCTAATATGAAACAATTTACATACGGGGCCAATACAACATCTTAATGGGAGTGTTCCAAATGTTGATAATTCTTTGAGAAAAATAAATCTTTTCCGCATCGTAGGAAACGAGTTGTTTCCTATAGAATTTACTAGGATGCCCTAGTAAAAAAAAAAAAAAAAGAAGAAAAAATAGAAAGAAAAAGATTTGTTTTAAAAGGTGGGGGAGGGGGACATTCCTTAAGACCACACACACCTCAGCCCTACCGTAGTTGAAGCTGAGTTGCTAAAATTTGAGAAAATTGTACCGCTAGATGGCCGGAAATGATACTCTTATATACACAAATTCATCAGCATCACATTATCACCATTATATAGTCAAAATGAAGCGCCAACAAATTTCTCATAATCTTTATTAAACGACTTTCGCAATCAGAGATCTAAATAATCTGTGTGATGTACCATTGAAAAATAAAACTTTAAAACATTGTCTTTGATGTAGGCCTATTTACTTTACTTTACCTACTTTACTCAGGCCCACTAAGTGGGTACATACCTCTACCTGGCCGGAAATGACTCTCTTACAGTAAAATTCATCATCATCACATCACCATTATTATATAGTCCAAATTACCGGCCAACACATTTCTAATGACTTTTAGGGATTTTTGGCAATCACAGAGAGAATTAATCTCTATGATGCAGCATAGAAAATTAAAAAAAAAAAAGTTTTGTTTTCTCTCACTTCTCAAAAAGGCACGCGCACTCAAGTCATGTATAGGTAAATCAGATAGATACCGGTAGCTTGCTATTTATAAGAACATGTAATCTGGCTGTACAGAGGGCTCTTTCTTTAAAACCTGGGTCGATCATTTATACAGTACGGTTCATTTCAACAATTTTCAGGCATCTTTTTGACTCTTACGAAAACACATTGCCACCAAAAAGTGGGGGATCAACTTTTGTATGAAGTCTGAGAGTATGTTGTTGTGGAAGAAAAAGCCTGAGAAAACCACCCCCGGACTGGTTTGTCTACTTTGGTTGCTCTAGATATGCATCAAAGATCTTATAAACACAATTGGATAGCGTTCTCCGCGATTTACGCGTGCAAATTCTGTACTAAGGCATGAATGGCGCCCTCTTGCTAAATTGGAAACTTTTGAACCTTGACCGACGCTTCTATTTGTTACGCGTAAATCGCAGAGAACGCTATCTTGTGTTTATAAGATCTTTGATATGCACATAGAGATATAATAAGAATACTAGAGCGCTAACCGCAATGTATTCGATGTTCGAAATACGCAGAACTGTGTATGTGTACCATCCAAGATGGCTGCCATAGATTCAGCCAATCAAATTTCGCCTAAGCGCCGTCGTTTGCAATTGCGCCCTCAATTTACACAGAACGTTCAGTACATCATGTTTGAAACTCGAGCGTTGCGGTGTATAGGCGTAATCTACATGATTTTAATTTTCATTTCTTGGTACTTTTTTTTTGAATAGGATGCTCCACTTGGCCTCGTTTTGGATACGATAGTTTAATAATTTGTTATTATAATTTTCCATAATTATCATTAATAAAATAATAGTCAGTCAGAGGGCTTATTTATGGTAATAATATACTAAGCCTGAAGGTGGCGCTTTACTACGACGGCCATCTTGGATGGTACACATACATAACTCTGCATTGCTCCGCCATCTTGTCAGCACTCTAGTTGTTTAATAGCTCTATGGATATGCATCAAAGATCTTATAAACACAAGATAGCGTTCTCCGGGATTTACGCGTGCAAATTCTGTAATAAGGCATGAATGGCGCCCTCTTGCTAAATTGGAAACTTTTGACCCTTGACCGTTCTGATCTGACCATACAGTACACTGCCTGTGAACAGCAGAACAGGAACCATCTCAGATCCATGGCAACAGATAGGACGCCCTCTTCCAAAACTTATTACTTTTTCTCTTCGGTAATAGCGCATGAATGGCGCCCTCTTGCTAAATGGGAAACTTTTGAACCTTGACCGACGGCGATTTTTTTTTCCGTACGAAACATTTACATGAAACTCCACTCGGGCCGTCTCGGCTGAATCGACCCGAAAATCTCATTGCAGAATTCAGGAGGTCAAAAGGTCATCAACGGATAAACGTCTACAGAACAACTTCTGAGCTGTCTCTTATACACATCTAGATGTGTATAAGAGACAGATTCCAAACAAGATCAAAGGCGCAACGCATAAGCCTAAACTATAGATAATTCCTATTTGAATCATTACCTTAAATTTCCAAGCTTACTACCAGGGTTCGACAGGCCACAAATACATGACATATATCATAATTTATTGATAAAGTAGTTACCTGACTCCAGGCGAGGCCTGAGCCATCCTACTGGAAAGTTAAAGTTTTGTTGTATTTGTATGGTATGCCATCTAGTCTAAGTTTAATTGTTTTTGCCATTGCCAACATTAGTCTTACTAGGGTCTATTCTAAATATTTTAGGCCCGTTTTATTAGGGAAGACTATTTAAATTTAGTCATGCCTAACCATGGACCTATGGCCTAACTAGTC